CCTCTGTGAGCTGGGACCTGGAGCCAGCTCTGACAGCAGGTATACCAGAATGAGCGCCAACTTGGCAGGGCCATGGTGTGCTTGTCAGATTCACGTGCCCTGGGAGAAGTGTTCCCTCAAATCTTTAGCTGTTAGGCCACAAGTGGAACCTGCAAAAATGCCAAGGAGTAAGGAGAGACCTGACCGGACTATATTCTGATTCAGCTTATTATGTTTATTTGGTTGTTTGCAAATCTTCAGTGTTGTGAATAAATATATTTGAATGAATCTAGTCTTCTTTAAAGGTGTGCTGGCAAAGGACATATGAATTAGCATTCACTGAGCAACAACTTGAACTTTATTTCAAAAGATCAGTTCATTGCATCCCTTTTAATAAATCTAACAAATATTTTGGTCCCTAAATGTTTTCAGCTTTAAAATATATCCTTTAATATTAAGTAAAATTACAGATCACATTTGCAGAAACAAAAACAGCTGTCTTTGTTTCTTTCAGCAAATTACATTTTGATGATTATTTTTTTTACCAATCTTATATCATGATCTACTACTAAAGATTATTATAGCTTATCTGATGAGATGAGATATCTCATCAAATCCTCACTGACATTTATCGAGCTGGAAAATATTATTTGCTCTTTGCTGCCAATCAAATGGTTGACTCATACATTTAGTAGAGTTGCCATTTTTCTGGCAAGTCAACTGCATCATTAAAAATTGTATATCGGGGAGAAATTCTACAGTTGAAGGTTCTCGACTCCCTTTATATCTATACTGGATATGGAACTCTTAAATTTCATCCATACAGATTATATTTTTTTTTTTTTTTATAATATTTTTTATTGCATTTTTCCAGATAGAAATACAAGGTCAGATATACAAAGAAATAACAGAAAAGAGAAAGAAAAAGAAGAAAATCATCTTTTCAAAGCATTTTTCCATAACCAACCGGACTTCCCCGTCCCCTCACCTTGCGTTCTTTACAATAAAATTTTTCAGCAAATTATAACCTTATTTCGTGCATTCTTTTGTTCTTTCAAATACTTGTGATTTACGTTTAAAATGCTTATTGTCAATTTACACTAATAATATATATAATGTTCTTTTAAACGTTAGTCCTTTCATTAATATAGCTTAGTTTCCCATACCTTAATCTTATTGCTGGAGCTGAATTTCCTAATCATGCGAATTCTTAACATTCATATAACTTATAAAATTTTTGTAAATAATCTTTAAATTTTTTCCAATCCTCCTCCATTGCTTCTTCCTCCAAATCTCGGATCCTGGCAGTCATCTCGGCCAATTCCATGTAGCCCATCAATTGCGTCTGCCACTCTTCCAGTGTGGGTAAATCTTGAGTCTTCCAGTATTTTGCGATAAGAATTCTTGCTGCTGTAGTTGCATACATAAAAAAGGTTCTATCCTTCTTTAACACCTTCTGACCGACAATGCCCAGTAGGAAGGCCTCTGGTTTCTTGGGAAAAGTGTACTTAAACACTTTTTTAACTCATTATAGATCATTTCCCAGAAGGCCTTCACTTTTGGGCAAGTCCACCAGAGGTGAAAGAATGTCCCTTCAGCCTCCTTACATTTCCAACATTTATTATCAGACAAATGATATATCTTAGCAAGCTTGACTGGGGTCATGTACCACCTGTATATCATTTTCATAATATTCTCTTTCAAGGCATTACATGCCGTGAATTTCATACCAGTGGTCCATAACCTTTCCCAGTCTTCAAACATAATGTTGTACCCAATGTCCTGAGCCCATTTTATCATGGCTGATTTGACTGTCTCATCCTGAGTGTTCCATTTAAGCAGCAAGATATACATTCTCGAAAGTACCTTGGTCTTTGGTTCCAACAATTCTGTCTCTAGTTTCGATTTTTCCACCTGGAAACCTGTTCTTTTGTCCAGCTTAAAAACCTCTTGAATTTGAGCATAGTGAAGCCAATTTTGCACCTTATTCTTTAATTTTTCATAACTCTGCAGCCTCCAAGTTTCTCCTACTTTTTCTATAATTTCCCCATATTTCAGCCAACCAACCTCCATATTAGGTTTTTCCGGGCCTTGGCCTCTGCTGGTGAAAGCCACCTCGGAGTCTTACCCTCTAATAAGTCCTTGTATTTTGTCCAGACCATAAATATTGATTTTCTAACAATATGATTTTTGAACATTTTATGAACCTTTACCTTGTCGTACCACAAATATGCATGCCAACCAAAAGCATTATCAAACCCTTCCAGATCTAGAACATCAGTGTTCTCAAGAAGTAACCAATCTTTCATCCAGCAGAAGGCCGCAGCTTCATAATATAATCTCAAGTCCGGCAGGGCAAACCCCCCTCTTTCTTTCAAATCAGTTAGTATTTTAAACTTTATCCGGGGCTTTTGCCCTGCCAAACAAACTTGGATATATCCTTCTGCCACTTTCCAAAACATTCCACTCTGTCCACAATCTGTAGGGTTTGAAACAAAAATAACATTTTCGGCAATACATTCATTTTTATAGCAGCAATTCGACCCAACAAGGAAAGTTTCAATCTTGACCAGATTTCCAAATCTTTTTGATTTCCAGCCAACATTTTTCATAGTTGTCTTTAAATAGATTCAAATTTTTCGCTGACAAGTGAACCCCTAGGTATTTCACTTTTTTACCACACTTAGTTCTGTTTCCTTCTGAAACCCATCTATTTCTGAGGGTGTCAAGTTTTTCCCCAAAACCTTAGTTTTTTGCTTATTCAACTTAAATCCCGCCACCCGACCAAACTCATGAATCAATTCTAATACTCTTTTTGTACTAGATTCTGGCTCCTGTAATGTTAAAACCAAATCATCTGCAAAAGCTTTCAATTTATATTGTTTCGCTCCGACCTGTATTCCTTGTATCAACCGGTCCTTCCTAATCATGTTCAGTAACACCTCCAGGACTGAAATAAATAAAAGGGGGGATAGGGGGCACCCTTGTCGTGTCCCTTTTTCAATTTTGAACTCATCTGTCACCACATTGTTTACTATCAGTTTAGCTTTTTGCTCAGAATAAATTGCTTCTATTCCATTTTCAAACCCCGTCCCACTCCCATCCCTTCCAGGTTTCTCTTCATAAACATCCAAGAAATATTATCAAAGGCCTTCTCCGCGTCGATGAAAATTAACACAGCTTTCGTATTGATATTAGTTTGTAAAAGTTCCAAAATATCAATAATGTTCCTGGTATTATCAAAAGATGTCTCCCTGGGAGAAAGCCTGCCTGGTCCTTATGAATTACTTCGTTAAGTATTTTTTAAGTCTGCTCGCCAAAATATCAGCAAAAATTTTGTAATCCACATTTAGGAGTGAGATGGGACGGTAGTTCTTAAGCTGAGTCTTTTCAGATTCCAATTTAGGAATCAATGTGATGAAAGCTTCTTTCCACGTTTCCGGTGCCCTCCTCCCTTCCATAATCTGGTTACAGACCTCCATTAGTGGTTGTATCAAATAGTCTTTTAGTGTCTTATAGTACTTGGAGGTAAGTCCATCTGGGCCTGGAGATTTGCCTAGTTGCATATTCTGAATGGCACCCTCTATTTCCTGTCGTGTTATTCTATTATTTAAGATTGTCCTCTTCTCCTGAGATAGTTTGGATAGACCGTTAACTTTTAAAAATTGATCTATCTCAGACACTTCCTGAGGCCCTTGTGTATAAAGTTTTTGAAATATTTCTGGAAACACTTTCTAATTTCTTCTGGTTTCTGAATGTTTCTCCCTTCCACCTCTAGATTAGTGACAAAGTTCAATTTTTGTCTCTTTTTCAACTGCCATGCTAGCAGTTTTCCACATTTATTTGCCGATTCAAATGATCTTTGTTTCATTTGTTTGATTTTCCATTCCACTTCTTGATTTATCAATTTCGCATATTGAGCTTGGTGGAATTTGATTTCTCTTAAAACCTCTTTTGATTTTGGTTTTAATCTCAATTTTTTCTCTCCTTCTCTTATCTTCTCTAATATCCTATCTTTTTTCCCATTCCAAAGTTTTTCTTGATTGTGTTCTGTTGTATCAGAAACCCCCTCATTACAGCTTTACTTGCGTCCCAGATTGTTCTCTTTTCCACCGAAGTGTTCAAATTGATTTCAAAATAGTCCTTTAAAGTTTTTTGGGCCTTCTTCACAATCTCCTGATCTCTTAGTAGGGTGTCATTCATTTTCCATCTGAAAGAACCGGTTGGAGTAAGTCTCAATTCCACTTTCAAAGCATTATGGTCGGAGCAAGTCTTTGGACAGATTTCCACTTTTCTGATCTTAGGTGCCAGTCCTCTAGTTGTCCATATTTGGTCGATTCTTGTCCATGATAGGTGGGCCTCAGAAAAAATGTTCCTTCTTTACCTAAGGGGTTCCTTGTCCTCCAAATATCAATCAAGTCCATGTTATCAGTTAGTTCAAAGAAGGTTTTAGGTAGTCTGCCGTCTTTAGTTAAATTTTGATTTTGTGACTTATCCATGTGAGTAGAAACCACCCCATTCATATCGCCCATCATTATGATGTTGGTATAGTCCAGATAGTCCAGCATTATCTCATGCAGCTTCTTGTAAAATTCCGATTTCCCCTCATTTGGTGCATATATTCCTAAAATCAAAAACTTTTCTCCTTGTGTTTGTATCTCAATTGCCAAAATTCTTCCTTGCTCATCTTTAAACAGAAATTTCGGTGACAGGTTCTCCTTTGCATAAATCACTACGCCTCTTTTCTTGACTTTGTCTGATGAAATAAATTCTTGGCCTAGTCTTTTGTTGATTAACACTTTCCTATGGAGCCTAGTCACATGCGTTTCCTGCAAGCAAACAATATCCAATTGTTCTTTTTCAAAATATGAAAAATCCTTCGTCTTTTTCTCCGGGAGTTCCCGCCATTTATATTCCAACTGTACAGCTGCAGAGACATTCTGAATCAATCTGTTGTTCCTATAGTGGGGTGTCTTCCTTTTCTTCTGGCCCCGAGGGTGTAGGTATCGGTGCTTTTCCAGGCAGTGGCGGTGGCCAAGAGGCTGCTGCTCCCTTCTGAAGGTCTTCTCCGTGGTCGTGCAGGAACTTCTGGTTATCTTCTGATGTTTTAATCTTAATTTTCTTTCCTTTAAAATTAAAAGATAAACCTTGGGGAAACTCCCACCTATATGGAATCGCGTTTCCTCTCAGTAGTCTTGCTAGGTCTGTATATGTGGCTCTGAGATCCAAAAGTTGTTTAGGAATATCTCTATAAAATTCTGCTCTTTTGCCTTGGATATCAAGTGATTTCTTAAAGTGGAGGCCTAGTATTTTATCTCTCTCCTGCTTGGATCTCAAAATAATCAAACAGTCTCTGGGCTTGTCCCTCCTCACGACTCTTCCTAATCTGAACGCAGTTGTGATCTTGAAATCTTTGTCCTCTTCTATACCCCAGAACTTGGAAAATTCTGCTGTCAGATAACCAATTAAATCTTCCTGTTCAAGCTCTGGGATAGCTCTTAATCTCAGATTGTTTTCCCGGTTTCTCAATTCCACCATAGACAGGTAAGCCTGCTGATCACTAATGTGCTTGTGTAGTGGCCTTACCTCCCTTTTATAGCCTCAACTTTTTGATTTGCTTGTTCTGCTTTTTCATTGGCTGCTTCAGCCAGTCTCCGATTTTCCACAGTTGCTTCCTTGAGATTCCCAATAACTTGTGTATGTTGTGCAACTTGGTCAGACAATTTAGTAATAGAGGATGTGGCTTGATCTATTTTTGCCGATTGGTCATCCACCTTCTTGTTCAATATTGCAAATTGTTCTAACATTTGTTGTAAGAAGGTATCTGATCCTCCCTCTGCCATATCCTCTGATGCAGGCTGTGCAGTTTCCTTTTCTTGTACTCCCAAAACAGCTGGGACAGATGATCTACGTGACTGAGTAGTCAAAGTTGTTTGCACAAGTTGGGCTTGTCTTGCTTTCGTTTTCGCAGATCTTGTTTTCGGTTGGCCACTCATTCCACACCTGTCTATGAGTCAAGGTCAAGCTGTATATTGTCCCATGGGAAGGACAGTTCCAAAGTGTAAATAACAGAGCAGCAGATAGTCCAAATAAAATTTGTTCCCAGGCACTTGTAATTCCAGAACTCCACTAGGGGAGTATTACTGTAGTTCATAGAAAGGAAAGAACTTTATCCGCCATTAAAGTCCCTGCAGCCTCAAAACAGTCTAATTTACCAAAAGTTCTTCATAAACTTTTTTAGCTTACAGAGCATCCCAAGCTACCACAAAGTCTCAGATAAAAGGTGCCAATAACAGTTTATTTAATTGTATCTTGCCAGTATCACTCAACTGTAACAGTCTCTATTTTGGATACAGTTTCCGCAATGACAGCTCTCTTTTTTCCTGTCAGTCCGAGGTTTGGTTCTTAATTCTTTATAATCCATAAAGGGGAGGAAAGTCCCATTTAAAGTCCAAAACACTTAGAAATAAAAATCTTTTCTCCTTCTTTTTAAAAGCCAATTCTATCAACACGATAGTCCCAAATTTATAATCTTTTAAAGCTGCTTCCCGCTTGTTAAAATCTTTGCCTTTGATCTTTAAAGCACTGCCGGAAGACGGACTTCCTGTTTATCGTCTCCCGCTTTCAGCCAAATTTAACACTTTTAGTCCCAAAATGATTGATCCTTACTCACGAGTAGGTAGTTTAGAGCCTGATGTTCCAAGAAGAAAGGTCGGCGCTCATCAGCAGCAGCCGCGCGGCTTCGCTCCCGCAGAAAGAGCGATGAACTCACAGCACCGCTCCCCTTCCACGTTTCCGGAGCCCCTACGGGGTTCCTTCTTCGCTTTTGGGGTCGCTCCTGGTGCCCGCCGAGTCCCACGGCCACGGGCTCACTCTGCCCGTGGTTTTTCTTAATGGGTCACCGCTGTGCCGCAGCGGACGACCCTTTTCTGCGGAGCCCCTCTTCAGAGACCGAAGAGGACCGCCATTGCCGTTTCGCGCCGCCTCCAGGAAGTTTTCATCCATACAGATTATAATTCATTCAGAAAATCTGAAAACAAACAAACAAATGGATGCAATATTGTAAAGGAAGAGGTAATGACTTAGTATCCCACAAAATACTGGAATATTCCTTAGGCCTGCATTAATTACTTGCATTTCTAGTCTGATGTTGTGATCCTGAGGGCAATAACTTTTTGAAGATGTGGGAATGTTTTCTTGTAAACATGGTATGTATGAAGGTAATCACCATGCTTTAGATACCCATACACAATCTGAATGGTATAGACATGGGGGTTCTTATGTAATCATGCTTCACATTCATTTCTACTCAGAGGACAAATCCAGAATCTTAGTGCATACACTGAGTATCTGTTTACACTAACCTTACAAGCAAACCTATATACATCAGAGACCTCAGATCCTAAATATATCAATGAATAAAAATGAATGTATTTGTGAAAAGAATCAATACATTGCTTTGGCCTCTGAGTCACTTTCAGAATTCATTTCTGAGTCACTTTCAGAATTTGTGCATTTTATATGGGTCTACATACTACCAGTTCACCAATAATAAAATCCATATTAGGACAATACCTTTATTAGGCAAACAAACATATAAAATCACAAGAGAGTATGTAAGCTTTTGAATTCTGCAGAACACTTCATTGGATGGTAAACAAAGCAGGAGCAAAGCAGGGATTGGCTGGTAGTGTAGCAATTTTCATCTGATAAAAGACTAAAGGTGGGCAGGCCAGTCTTCCTCTTATATACCTGCTGGGATTGACAAGGCATATGACCCTCACCTGAATTTCCTAGCTCTCCTGTCAGGTGATTTGGTCTGCAGCCACAGTTTGGAAATAAAGGAGGATATTGCCCTCCAGATACCAGGCACTCTATTATTCAAATTAGGCCCCAGCGTTTTTCTTACAATCCCCTTCTCAATGAATTAATCAATTTTAATCGAGCATGTAAATTCTCAAAACTTTCTTATTTGTTAATTTGAGCAACTACTGCTCTCACTTCATTATAAACAATATTTCTACCTGCAACACACTTGAGCAAACCTGTTTCTCTTCCTTTCACAGATATTTTGTTTCCATTTGCAACTGTAGCTGCCTCTGATGAGTTATCATTTAACTCTTTGGGGGGGATTAGCATCAGACGTCATGAAAGTTGCCAAATCAATTAACCAACTAGAAGGGTTACTGTTAATAGCACTAGTTATCGTATTATTTGATATTGCTGGATAGTTTTGATGAACAGCGAAAGCATTTTTAGTTTGCTTTCTGTTGCCACCCTGAACTTTTCTTTATTAGTGCCACTTTGTTTCGTACGATTCCTTGAAAATGAAGGAAAACAACTTTTCTCCTTGTATATGTTGATAATATAATTTTGGTAACTGAGAACAAACAAGATTGTACAAAAACAAGATTGGCTGCAGGCCTGGCTAGGACATAGGCATCCTGTGACAAAGGTGACCTGTGTGCTTGCTTGCTTGCTTGCTTAATTAACAGCAGTTGGGAACTTCAAGGTCCCTGCTCTCCCTTCTTATGGTCTTTATATTGGACCTGGAGACTCCAATAGAGAGCATTCCATGTCAAGAAGGAGGGCAAGTGGGCACCCTATCAAATGATAGGGCAGGAGCTACACGCAGCAGGGCCTTTTCACTGGTGGTGCCCATATGGCTAGCTCTTCCCAGACCTGCTTTCTTTTGGCCTGTATTTTGGAGCTTTATAATTTAGGAAGACTTTGGAAGAACTGGTTGACAAGTTTTATCAGTCACTGACGTATGAGTGGATTTTTTTTGCTGCTATTCTGAGCTCCTGATGCACCAGGGTTTACAGCAGCGTAATAGAGTTGGCCAGGATGCCAGAAGAGATACAATTTATGAGCTTTCTCCATTATCTGCCCGGCAGGGGGTGTTCAGCCAACAGTGCAAAGGCTGAGATGAAGCGTTTCCTGCTGGTTACCTGCTTTCAGCAATAGGGGTCACTGCTTGATAGTACCCGATTGGTTAGCTGTCAGATTCTAGAGCTCCCTATTGGTGGCTCTTAGGTAATTCCAAAAATACAGAGTCCATTAATAAAACACAGTGTTCATTCATAAATCAGTAACATAAATATCCATTGCTACATATTGAGTGTGTATTTCAGCGGTTTAACATGCAGGTTTATGGCCATGCTGTAGTGTAGTGCTTATGAGACTGTGAATAAAAGGTGACCGGGCTCATCATCCCGGGGTTTGGGGGGGGGGAGGTGACAAAACTGATTTCCAACAAGTGCCTCCCTTTATTTCCATAACAAGTCCTTGAGTCTGTACTCTGAATGGTGACACCAGGTACCTAGAAGGTGCAGGGCTTGTCAGTCCACCCCCTGCACAGTCTCATCAGGGCTGACCTTAAGGCAATTGGAGCAATTTGGCCAAATTGGGCCCCGCGGGCAGCTCCTAAGGGGGCCCCCACACCAGGGCAACCTAGATGGATTTTATTTATTTATTTATATCTATAAGATTTTGCAGACTTTGGCTGTGAATTGCAGCCGTACAAAAAAACACCTAAAGTTGGGCCCCACTGACTAGCCCTGAATCTCATAGTTGCTGGGCATGAGTTGCCCTGCCCTTGCGTGAAGTCTTGGGTTTGCAGTTTTGGGAGAGGGGAGACTGTGGCACTGGGGAGATGGCAGGCTGGTGCGGCCCCCTAGATTTAGAGGCCCTAGGTTTCAGCCTACTTAGCCTATACATAAATCCAGCACTGGGCAAAATTTAGGCCACAACTTTATTGATTACAGAATGTGAGCAGTATTGGCTTAGGCATTGGCATCAACAGACTATATCTGATTCCTGCCCGCCTTGCAGAGAGTCTGGTAAGGGCAAACCACCAGTAGGGGGAGCCCCACTGATGTGGATTGACTCGAGCATCCCCTAGGTTCCTGCTGGGGTCGTGGCATGGCCCTAGCCCCTCCCCGGGCTTCGGACAAGATCCACACCCCCAGATTCCTTTAACGGAATACCCTTGAGCATGGAGGGGCAGGTGATGGCAGGGGTGATTCCACGTCGCACTGTGGTTTAAATTGATTGGCCTGATTGGCTGCTTGGCTAACTGGCATGGCCGGGCCTCCCAAGTGTAAGGTGTGATGCAGTCCCACCCCACACGCTAGGGGGGAGGCTTGGCAACTCGCCTGCAATGTGTCCCCACAAGGATATGGAGCCGATATATCAATATGCAACTCTGAAGCTAAACAATACCCCAGCCCAACAGTCTGTTCAGCAGGCACAGCTTTTGTAGCTGGAGTCAGTCAGTGCCCTGCCCTCCCAGGCCAGGGGCAAAAAGGCCTGCAGGGCAGGAAGTAGATCTTTCAGGACTCACAGGCAAGAAGGACTGGGTAGCTTTGGACTAGTCACTCTCTCTGGCTAATACTACCCTATCTTTCTGGTTTATATTGGAATTTGAGGAAGGCGGCGGGGGGGGGGAGGATATCAGGTACTCCAAACTGAGCTCTTAAGAGAAAGAGTGGACTAATAATAAATAGTAGTAGTATTAGTGAGCTGCAAAGGTAGCTTTTGGGTAAAGTTGTGCTGCGAGTGTAGTGGCTGCTGGTGTACACGCATATCCAATGCAATTTTTCATTTTCAGGTATTTTCAGCTTTAATAGAAATCTTCTCTGTAGGTAGGTAACCTTACATTTCTGGGAATTCAGCATCCAGACCTATCAATCTCGGGGAGATTCAAAATCTTCCAGCACAGACATTTTGTGTGTGAAGGGCAGATGAAACTGGCTTATGTGCTTCAAGGACTCTAATGCCCAGCTTCTTATCAGTACTAACAAGGAAGTATGCAAACTGTATTTCTTCAGAGAAATGGGAAAACCTGAAATGTGTGGTACAACAATGGAGAGACTAGCCATGTGCTATTGTAGTCAGATCATAATCTCACCTAGGCTGTATATTAGACACAAAGAAATATATAGCTAGTACAAAAATTCAATTGTACTTATGCAAAATTCAGCCAAGACCAAATTGATTCAACTGCGACTTTCTTAGAGTCATCAAAAGGAATGGCATTCTTTGGTGCTTTACTGCTTTCAGTTTAGATATCAATGAGGGACACAATGGTTTACCAATTATCCTTTCAGGAGGGTGCTTATTTAAATTAAAAACATTATTACATATGCAACCGTTTAAGCGGTTAAAGAGAATGGAACTTGGAATATGATCAGCATTCAGTGAAACAATTCTCTACCTTTGGTCTTTGAAAGCAATTCTTTGCTTTATAATTATTTGGAGTCTGGGTTAAAGTAGCGACTCAAAGAAATATTAGGTAGCAGAACTTGCGGCATGCAAAATGTTGTCCCTGCTAATTAAATTTTCTTAGGTATTTTCCTCATTTGATTACTTTATGGTATGAAGTTGTCAAATTGCTTTTGAAAAGCACACTATAAATTAGATAAACAGCAGACCATATATACACATCTTATAGATGAACCCTCCCCCCCCCCCACCACCCAGTGTTATCAAAAGAACAATGGGTCTTATCTCTGCTTCTTTCTGTTTTATATGCCAATATATTGCTGCTGGAAATATCATACCCTAACATTACGAAATATGTGAAATGTCTTTCACAATATGTACATGGGTAAAATCAATTTCAAAGAAAATACCCACATATCATAAAATGTAAATATTTAATATCCCTTCATAATTTTATTGGAAGGGTAGTCTGGTTGCCCTCTTTGGATACTATCCAAGCCAGTAGTTTTCCCCCTGTAGGATGAAATTCTGTAGTGGAAGAGGCTTCTTATGTGGTCGAGCCATTGCCTTTGTTAACAGACTTGGCTAGAGCCAAAAACTTAAATATCTCTTTGCATGACTAATGTGAACAAGCGATTGGGTGCCACAGAAATCACCAGATACTTCCAAAAGAGGGGACACGTCTCTCCCCCATTTTCTGGCTTGAGGCAATGTTATCAACAGTGTGAGAGAACAATAGACAAGGACAAGTTTCAACTGGAGTTGGGAGAGAGAAGTTTCTGTCTTGCTTTCTGTGCTGAGCCCAAAGCTGTGCCTTGGGGACAGCAGCTAGAAATCAAATGGGATAGCAATATATGTTTGAGTGTTAATGCTGTGAGCCCTTTTATTTTATGCTCAGCCTGCATATATGTGGAAATGAGCTACATAGCACAAAGACCAAAGAGTCTCTAGTGCCCTTCATTCTAAGGAATCCAAACCTGCAGTATGTCTTCATATCCCTGAAGTCTCTGCATGCTTGGAGATTGGGCTGTAGAAGTGAGATTGTGTTTCCTGGAGAGCAATCTGTGAACAAGGTGTGCTTAAGCTAAAAGGTAGGGCATAATATCAACATCCCGAGCAGCACAGGGAGTAACATGACAGAGATTTGAAAAGAAAATGGATTCAATGTACCAGCTACGCGAAATGAAGCACCAGAATTCAAAGTCTGGGAAAATCGTGCCAGAGGTTGGCAAGATCATACCATAAAACTGAGGCCTTTCATGTGCAGCTGATGAATGCTGTCCACAAAATGCCCCATGTCTTATTGGGTGGGATTGGGCCCCTTGGTGGGTGGGACCAGGCCTCTGCATCCATTAAGCAAACCCCAAAAGTGAAGGTCATCCAGGGTCCTGTGAGTTTGGGGGGCAAAATGGAAAGGTTTCTGTTTCTGTTTCTGTTTCTGTTTCTGTTTCTGTTTCTGTTTCTGTTTCTGTTTCTGTTTGGGCTTGTGGCTGACTGTGAGAATAAGCAGAGTTAAAATGTTCTTGCTGTCTGGCAGCTTCCTCCTCATTAGCCTCAGTGTTGCCCTTGTCGAACTCTGCAGGGAGAAGGATGGAAGCAAATCTAAAATTAGTTCACTTTGCCTGTCATTGGTTCTGGCTCCACCTGTTGTTCTCCCTGCCTTCCCACCTTAGCAGTCTCAATGGACAACAGATTCACTGGGGGCACAAAACACTGTGAATGAGGTCTTAGAAGAACCACTGCTCTTGGGGAACTTTTGTTTGTATCATATGTGCTAAAGCAGTGGATGAAAGTCTTTTTTTTAAGGGGTCTGATTCCTGAAGTGTGTTGATAGTGTTAAATTAAACAGCCAATCCATTACTAGGCAATCGCCCTTTCAGGGCAACCCACAATTTAGTTTGCATTAGTAATTCACCAACTTGCCTAGAAATAGACTGAAATATGGCTGAAATTTCACTGTGGTATTCTAATTTTTAATTTCCCACAAATCTGAAATGGAGGACGAAAACACCCAAAGGCTCTTTTCACCTTCCTACCTATTGCAGACTGAATGGTTTATATATGGGAAATAAGCTGTTTTACAGCAGTCCCTCATGGAAGGTACTGGAATCCATTTTTTGCAGAAGAGGCATAAAAATGGCCAAAATGTGAGCGGGATGCGGCAGAATGAGAAAATGATTTGTGCATTTAGAGGCACAATTGCTTCTTCCAATAATGACTTGAGGGGAACAACATGGCAAAAATCTGCATTGGTGTTAAGACCATGTTACTCCCATAGAAGCAATTCCTACCAAAGAAAATGAACAGGAAATAAAAGAGGGATATGAATGAGAAATGGGATCCTCCTAAATTGAGGGTCCTGGTTGCACTCAGGCGCCTTAAGCCACCCCCACGGGGTGAGTTGTTGCTAGGTGTGGCCCAAGCCTTGTCAGTTGGGCCCTGGGATCTTGCCTGGCTGTTGTCGCTGCCCAACCACAACCCAAAAATCCTTTTGTTGACCAAAAGGATTAAGAATCTTGGTTGCTGGAAGTCAGATGCCTATAAGGGTTACGTTTGTTAATTTTCCTTGGAGCCTTTTCAGTTTTTACCTGTTTTCAGTTCGTTTTGGACTTTTACTGTTTACTTACCTGTTTGTGTTTCCTTTCTTAGTGTTGCCGGTGCTGCACGTCTAGATCCTTGGCCATAGTATCGTGCACTGGGCCGACATCTGAGCAGTTGAGACCAGCTTGAGGCGCGATCTCACTTTATCTGCTTGAGTAAAAGTTTCATGGTTCACCAGGCAGGGGATGCTCTGGAGGGGACTGTTGCCATTGGTGATTGCACGAGTGCCCTGTTTAGGTCCGCCATCCATGAACCTCATACAGCTGGGTGAAAATGATTTGCCTGCATCAAGAGGCATGGTCTTAAGGTTCCGTATCTAAAGGGATTTGCAGGAGCTGGCCATGTCTTGTCCCAACACATTATTTTTTTTGGTTTCCTCATGAGGCGCTTTTGGTGCAATAGCATCAGCCCAGTTGCAACAAATAATGCCCGGAAGTGGGTAGACTGCAAGGTAGTGCAGAAGGTGTTAATCCTGGATGGCAGGGTGATTCCCCATCCAGGCATTGCATTCTCTAATGCAGCCCTATTTAGGGCAGATGGAGTGCATTTATCTGATGAAGGTAATGATATGCGGTTGGCCGAAGTCCGCGATGGCTTAAAGGACTGGTTGCGAGGTGAGGATATTGGCGGCGAGCGCTAGGCTCGTGTGGCGGTTAGGCATTGGTTTATAGAAATGTGCAGGAGGGGAGGTGTGGCCATCACCTGCCCCTCCAAAATTAGGGTATTCTGGTAAAGGAATCTGGGGGTCCTGGATCTCATCCGAAGTCCACTTGAGGGGCTAGGGCCATGCCAGGACCACAGGAACCCTGGGGTGAGTTTCAATCAATCTTCACCGATGTTGCTCCCTCGTTTGCTGTTTACCCTTTCAGACTGCCAGCCAGAGAGGCTGGAGTCGATAATAGTCTCTGACCAATGCCTAGGCCACTACCGCTCAATTTGTTTTGTAATCAATAAAGTTGTGGCCAAAATTTTGCCCCAAAACTTAAACTAATATTATGTGTCCGTTTGAATTTATTTACTGGGGAAGGGCTTGGGGGTCTCGAGGTGCAAAGTACAGACCATATTACCAAAGAAGAAAGGGGAGAAGTGACTTTAAATTCCACCCGACCACATAGCTCACCAAATGATCTCTCAGCCTTACAGGCTTTAGAGCATTGTTGCAAGGGTAAAAGCATATTTGAGAATTAAAAGTGCAAGCATATTTCAGTACATTTTAATTCACTTTTTAAGGATATAATTTAACTTGATTAATTATTTTAATTGAACTTCAGCCTTCATGGGAATTACTTTGAGTCTTCCAGTATCAGTTATGTACATTTCTATGGAGTAGTTGAATTTTTTAGTGGATGATATAAAACAATTCCAAACAAAATGACATTTTTTCAATAGACACCATACTAACACTTCAGTTATTCAGTGTAGCGGACATAAAACAAATACAATACAAGACAGCAAAGTTGCATTTCTATACACATTTCACAACATTTATATTTAATAAATGCTTTACTACCAACCTACAAGACATATATCATTATCTAGCAACAGGGTTCTGATCTTATAATTTACCAATATTAACTTTTTTGTGTCTTAATTTACCTCTTCATAGCAAAAATCTATCTTTTTTGTCTTATACCTGTACAATGCTAAGGGCTAAAGAAAGAAATATAGTGTATATAAGCTCAAAAGAATCTATTTACTACTTTAACATTTCTCAAGTCATACATTAACATTTAGCAAGTCATAAAGAATTTACATCTCTAAGCGATTTGTGTGTAATAGAGGTTAGCAATATGCATATCATCCTGAATATGAGCAGCATTTACAAAATGAATCCAGTCCACCTCAAATTGTAAATAGGTTATACAAGTAGCATTGCTCAACTAATAAAACATATATGGCCCCAATATATTGTAAGAAAGTCGGAAGACTCAACTGGGTTTAAACAGGGCCAACATGTTATTGATGCAACCATATACGATTTGCAAAAGGGCTGGTAGTGGATAAGCACACTAAGAAAATCTAATTCAGTGTGGTAGGGACTGGATCTGGTACAGTACCATCTAACAGGTTGCACCCCAAGTGGGAATGTCCAAGGGGAGCAGCCCTCTCTTATTCTGCAAACTGTAATAAAGACCATGGATTACTGAGGCTCACCTAGGTCCATTCATCCACTAATAAGCTTCTTAAGTTCCATTGGGTGTGCTAGGGGTTCATCAGCATCTTTAGAAGGAGCTCCTAGGAGGATTACAATTTAGCTCCCTTTTATAACATCATGTTTGCTGACTGGGAAAGGTTATGGACCACAGGTATGAAATTTACGGCCTGTAATGCCTTAAGAGAAAACATAATGAAAATGATTTATAGGTGGTACTTAACCCCAGTCAAGCTAGCAAAAATTTATCATTTGCCTGATAATAAATGTTGGAAATGTAAAGAAAATGAAGGTACTTTCTTTCACCTTTGGTGGACGTGCCCAAAGATCAAGGCATTCTGGGAAATGATATATAATGAATTAAAAAAGGTATTGAAATATACTTTCTTAAAGAAACCAGAGGCCTTCCTCTTGGGCATGGTCGGCCAATTGGTGCGAAGGGAAGACAGAACGTTTTTTATGTATGCGACAGCAGCAGCAAGAATACTCATTGGGAAATATTGGAAGACACAAGAATTGCCTACCCGAGAAGAATGGCAGAGAAAAGTGATAGACTATATGGAACTGGCTGAGATGACCGGAAGAATCCGAGACCAAGAAGAAGGGTTGATGGAAGAAGATTGGAAAAAGTTTAAAACATACCTTCAGAACTACTGTAATATAAAAGAATGTTAGGAAAGGTTGGAGAAGAAATATTAGACCGTATTGGCAGACAGAGTATAATGGAATTAAGTAAATATGAAGTGTAAATTAAAAGATAGAGGAGAACTAAATATTTTGGAATGTTAAAATGTTAAGATAAGTAAATGAAAAGAAGGTTAGAAAGATTTGCTGGAGATACAATTTAAATTAGAATACAAAGCAGAGAAGTGAGAGGAAGCCACGGAAATAAGTAAATGGGAATACGGTCTGCTTAATTTGAATTTTCTCTTTTTTTTTGTTTGTTATTTTTTCTTTTTTCTATTGTGACTTTTTGTCTTGTGTATTTTTCTTTGCTTCTTTTTTTGTACGGTGTGTTTTTTTTGTAAGAAGTATGTGATTGGTTCTTCTTGTTGTATTTTTTTTTTTTCTTTTTTTAACTTTAAAATTTGAATAAATATTCTTATAAAAAAAAACAATTTAGCTCCCTTTCTTCAACCTCACTTTGAATGCTGGTACCATATTATTCTAGTTCCAAATAAAGCTGCTCTTTCCACTGAAATGTTACTAACACTTAGTGACATTTAGAACCAGCAAGGAAGACACCACAAAGCAGGCAAAACCTCTCCCCACAAAAACAAGGAAAATTCCCTGTGTATCCCCAGAGTGGATGGAGACAAGCTCCAACTCCCTTTGCTGTATTAAACATTCAGTTACCTGGTCCTTAGAACTGTAAGCTCAACACACCCTGCACACCCACTGGTGGTGGCTAGTTTCCACTTGACATGCTTCCAGCTACACATTAGTTTGTTTTTGCCACTTCTTGTAAATTCTTAAGTCCTCCTCAGATTTATAGACTGAATAATAGTTCTAGTCTACAACTGGGATAAATGAGGAACATAGGAATTCTGGCAAGGCCCAAGAGTTGAGTCTTTGGCATATCAACATAAATCAAAAGCTGTCCAGTGATGTTATAATAACCAAGGTGATTCCTGGAAGAAATTTCAACGTCATTTCTAAAATGCAGTAAGAGGCAACAAAAGTAGGTCAACAGATCAGCAGTGCATGAAGTCAGATTAAACTGTAACCACATTTCTGCAGAGCAAAAATTTAAGATGGGGTCATTTGCAGCTTACTGAATGTGAATTTTATGGATGAATCTACAGGAGATTCCTTTGGAATGTTACAAAATATTTTATGTAACCATTCTTTCTTAGTAAATGCCATTTCATACATTTTGCCCCTGCTGTGATCACTTTCCACATTCAAAGATGAGACTTACCATGAATTTTAAACTCACGATCCTGAGTATGTATGGAATAGGAATGCTGAGAGCAAGACCAAGCCTTTAGGCATAGCCCTAAGCTAACAAGAGTGTTGTGACTCCTAAATACAGCATTAAATCACAATGGCTCTTCTGTTTCTTCCTGAGTCATAGGCGATATTTTTCTGACAAACATCAATGGCTTATTAGTAAGCCAAATACATTTTACTTGGGCCTTGTAGCTGGCTGAGATATGTGAAGAGGGAAGCCTTTGGTCTTTTGCAGTCTTTGTTTACTCTTCCAGTGAATGACTAATGCCTATATGCATCTTGATTCCTGCTTTCTGCTTGAGCATCTGCAATAGGTGTTCTGGTCTTACAAAGATAATTGACTTCAGTGAAGCTATTCTTCTGCTTAGTTTTAATACTGGGGGAAAGGGAGAGTCAAAACTAGACATTAACTAGGACAGGAGAATGTGCTGCCAGCCTTAGGCTTTCTTTTCTGCAGACAATGCACAAAATATTAAATTGTAGTAGTAGGTACTATTATGGCAGCTGTCCAACCATTTCCTTTGTTAGAAAAGTTACTGGTTAATAATCCTGGGTGAATGGCTGTTCTCTCAGTGGAAGCTAATGGTTTGGACATAGTTGGGAATTTATTCCTTGTGCTTGAGTGAGACACCCATTAGAGCTTGTGGAAAGTGGCATTCAATGCCTCCTCTCCACCACAGCCCCCCATTTTTAAGAGTACTGGGAAGATTAATGTTGTGTATATTTCTGTGACCCCTTCATGGATCACTGCCTTGCCGTGTCGAAGGGGCTTGAAGAACTCAGAGAAGCTATGAACTATGCCGTGCAGGGCCACCCAAGATGGATAGGTCATAGTGGAGAGTTTTGACCAAACGTGATCCACCTGGAGCAGGAACTGGCAAGCCACTCCAGTATCCCTGCCAAGAAAACTCCATGGACAAAGACAACAGGCATATAAAAGTTTTGACGCTGGAAGATGAGCCCTCAGGTCGGAAGATGTCCAACATGCGAGTGGGGACGAGCGGAGGACAAGTACAAGTAGATTCAGAGCTGATGAAGCGGCTGGGCCAAAGCCGAAAGGACGCTCAGTTGCGGATATGCCTGGAAGCGAAAGGAAAGTCCAATGCTGTAAAGAAAAATATTGCATAGGAACCTGGAACGTAAGAACCATGAACCTTGGTAAGTTGGATGTGGTCAAAAATGAGATGGCAAGAATAAATATTGACATCCTGGGCATCAGTGAACTAAAATGGACGGGAATGGGCGAATTCAGTTCGGATGACCATCATATCTACTACTGTGGACAAGAATCCCGTAAAAGAAATGGAGTGGTCCTCATAGTCAACAAAAGAGTGGCAAAAGCTGTACTGGGATGCAATCTCAAAAATGATAGAATGATCTCGATACGAATCCAAGGCAGACCTTTTAACATCACAGTAATCCAAGTTTATGCACCAACCACTGGTGCTGAAGAAACTGAAATCGACCAATTCTATGAAGACTTACAACACCTTATAGAAATGACACCAAAGAAGGGTGTTCTTCTCATTATAGGGGATTGGAATGCTAAAGTAGGGAGTCAAGAGATAAAAGGAACAACTGGCAAGTTTGGCCTTGGAGTTCAAAACGAAGCAGGGCAAAGGCTAATAGAGTTCTGCCAAGAGAACAAGCTGGTCATCACAAACACTCTTTTCCAACAACACAAGAGACGACTCTACACATGGACATCACCAGATGGGCAGCATCGAAATCAGATTGATTATATTCTCTGCAGCCAAAGATGGAGAAGCGCTATACAGTCAGCAAAAACAAGACCTGGAGCTGACTGTGGCTCAGATCATCAGCTTCTTATAGCAAAATTCAAGCTTAAACTGAAGAAAGTAGGAAAAACCACTGGGCCAGTAAGATACAATCTAAGTCAAATCCCTTATGAATGCACAGTGGAAGTGAGGAACAGGTTTAAGGATTTAGATTTGGTGGACAGAGTGCCTGAAGAACTATGGATTGAGGCTCGTAACATTATACAGGAGGCAGCAACTAAAACCATCCCAATGAAAAGGGAATGCAAGAAAGCAAAGTGGCTGTCCAACGAGGCCTTACAAATAGCGGGGAGAGAAGGCAAGCAAAATGCGAGGGAGATAGTGAAAGATACAGGAAATTGAATGCAGAATGCTATTTCCAAAAAATAGCAAGGAGAGACAAGAAGGCCTTCTTAAACGAGCAATGTAAAGAAATAGAGGAAAATAATAGAATAGGAAAAACCAGAGATCTGTTCAAGAAAATTGGAGATATGAAAGGAACATTTTGTACAAAGATTACCATAATAAAAGACAAAAGTGGAAAGGACCTAACAGAAGCAGAAGACATCAAGAAGAGGTGGCAAGAATACACAGAGGAACTATACCAGAAAGAAATGGATGTCTCGTACACCCCAGGTAGTGTGGTTGCTGACCTTGAGCCAGACATCCTGGAGAGTGAAGTCAAATGGGCCTTAGAAAGCACTGCAAATAACAAGGCCAGTGGAAGTGATGATATTCCAGCTGAACTATTTAAAATTTTAAAAGATAATGCTGTTAAGGTGCTACACTCAATATGCCAGCAAATTTGGAAAACTCAGCAGTGGCCAGAGGATTGGAGAAGATCAGTCTACATCCCAATCCCAAAGAAGGGCAGTGCCAAAGAATGCTCCAACTACCGCACAATTGCACTCATTTCACACGCTAGCAAGGTTATGCTTAAAATTCTACAAGGCAGGCTTAAGCAGTATGTGGACCAAGAACTCCCAGAAGTGCAAGCTGGATTTCAAAGGGGCAGAGGAACCAGAGACCAAATTGCAAACATGCGCTGGATTATGGAGAAAGCTAGAGAGTTCCAGAAAGACATCTACTTCTGCTTCATTGACTATGCAAAAGCCTTTGACTGAGAGCCAGTGTGGTGTAGTGGTTGAGAGCAGTAGTCTTGTAATCTGGGGAACCGGGTTCGCGTCTCCGCTCCTCCACATGCAGCTGCTGGGTGACCTTGGGCCAGTCACACTTCCTTGAAGTCTCTCAGCCCCACTCACCTCACAGAGTGTTTGTTGTGGGGGAGGAAGGGAAAGGAGAATTTTAGCCGCTTTGAGACTCCTTAAAGGGAGTGAAAGGCGGGATATCAAATCCAAAATCTTCTTCTTCTTCTTCTTCTTCTTCAACCACAGCAAACTATGGCAAGTTCTTAAAGAAATGGGAGTGCCTGATCACCTCATCTGTCTCCTGAGAAATCTCTATGTGGGACAAGAAGCTACAGTTAGAACTGGGTATGGAACAATTGATTGGTTCAAAATTGGGAAAGGAGTACGGCAAGGCTGCATATTGTCTCCCTGCTTATTTAACTTATATGCAGAATTCATCATGCGAAAGGCTGGGCTGGATGAATCCCAAGCCGAAATTAAAATTGCCGGAAGAAATATCAACAACCTCAGATATGCAGATGACACAACCTTGATGGCAGAAAGTGAGGAGGAATTAAAAAACCTTTTAATGAGGGTGAAAGAGGAGAGCGCAAAGTATGGTCTGAAGCTCAACATCAAAAAAACGAAGATCATGGCCACTGGGCCCATCACCTCCTGGCAAATAGACTGGGCCCACCACCTCCTGGCAAATAGAAGGGGAAGAAATGGAGACAGTGAGAGATTTTACTTTCTTGGGCTCCATGATCACTGCAGATGGTGACAGCAGTCACGAAATTAAAAGACGCCTGCTCCTTGGGAGAAAGGCAATGGCAAACCTAGACAGCATCTTAAAAAGCAGAGACATCACCTTGCCAACAAAGGTCCGTATAGTTAAAGCCATGGTTTTCCCAGTAGTGATGTATGGAAGTGAGAGCTGGACCATAAAGAAGGCTGATCGCCGAAGAATTGATGCTTTTGAATTATGGTGCTGGAGGAGACTCTTGAGAGTCCCATGGACTGCAAGAAGATCAAACGTATCCATTCTTAAGGAAATCAGCCCTGAGTGCTCACTGGAAGGACAGATCGTGAAGTTGAGGCTCCAATACTTTGGCCACTTCATGAGAAGAGAAGACTCCTGGAAAAGACCCTGATGTTGGGAAAGATGGAGGGCACAAGGAGAAGGGGACGACAGAGGATGAGATGGTTGGACAGTGTTTTCGAAGCTACAAACATGAGTCTGACCAAACTGCGGGAGGCAGTGGAAGACAGGAGTGCCTGGCGTGCTCTGGTCCATGGGGTCATGAAGAGTCGGACATGACTAAACGACTAAACAACAAGAACATATTTGTGTGAATAACCAGCAGTTTTTTCAGTTGGGAAAGTTGGGCAGAAGAAGAGACAAAGCTAGGAAGTATCCAAAGACATCTGTGAAGATGAAAGTCATCTCCCTAGAAATTTGATGTGAGATAGTAGATTTGTTGCTTTGTAGAAGTACCTGCAATTTGCTTCCACATATCCTTTTTTTTACTTAAAGAAAATATCACAAGAACACCATAAATCTCCAATATTCTCACCTCTTAGGGAATATGGGGCAATATGAATTCTCATTTACAGTGGAATGACTTTTAATGCTTTTTCTGCCACCATTATTGTCCCGTAAAGCTTTGGTAGCAGGAGTAGAGAAGAGAGCTTCAGCAAGAACAGAGAAATACTTGTCTATAGGTAGGGAAGCTCCAGTTTCTTGCTGGGGTATGCCAGAGGCCACTCCTTGTCTTCAGTGAGGCAGGATGCTCAAGAATTAACCCTTTTGTTTCCTATCTCTGCCTGCTGTGTTTATTCCATACTGATGTTTCTTCTGACTATTGTTCCACGTGTCGTCAAATTACAATTCAGAAACCATCTATTAAGCGTAAAACGCTTTTAAAAAGAACAAAATATGAACTAAAGCAAAGCTTTATTTCTTTTTTTTTAAAAAAAAGTCACATCAGTAAGAATAATGAATGAAGTTTGATAAATTTGGGCATCCTTACTAGCATTCTGTGAACAGGAAACAAAAGCCTAAATTTATCCAATAAATTATTCACTGTTAATTGTTTGTTCTGCTCTATCTACCATTATGTGGAGATAATTTGGACATGCCATATTTTATTGTTTGCTCATCTTTTCTATTGGAAAACCTTTTTTCAAAAAAAAATGCGATAACATAAAATGGTATGTTTAGACAAATATGTTTAAAGCTTAGTTAAAATGTTTCACTCAGTATATTTCTCCCATTGAAAAGACTCTGTATATTTTGCCCATTGGAAAGACTGCAAAAATACCTTCTTTTTTTAACTACTGTAATTAGACTTCTTGCATACTTAGTAGATTTACCTTGTACATAATACAGTGTTTATACTTAATATAATATGTTCTATTCTGAGGAAAGAAATTATTCACAGCTACATTTCTAGCAGTTAAATTACACTTGCTTGTAGTTTCACCTGCCTTCTGCCCTTTATGTATTCTGAATATTATTCAGCATCATATTCTTCTGAAGTCCATAGCAAATATAAGGCAAACCTAGCACACAAGGGAGGCCCATTACTGGGCTTGAGCTGAGATATCATTAGTTTGAAGCTATGACTTCACCTGGATCTGAAGCTGCCTTGACTCCTCAAATAACATTCTCAGCCTTTAGTTGTGGGCCAACTTTTGAGCAGGAAGACTTATAAGGTCTCCTTCTGAAAGGAGGGAGGCAGGGGTTCCCACATGGCCTCTTTGGGCCAGTAGGCTTGTGAGAGGAAGCCTCCTATTATAAAGGAGGTCCCTCCCCTGTGCCCTTATTCTCCTCATCTTTCAGCTTCTTGCCCTCCCCTCCCATGATTTGAGCAGTGTGGGTCTTGCCAGTTACTGTATGGGGCTAAGTAGGAATTGTTAGCGTGCTCTCCGATTAACCTTTGGTTCTTAATTTAATTGGGCTGGCTTTAATCTGGCTGCTGCCTGTTGGTATACTGTGTGGGCAGGGAAGTTGAGTTTAAACATGGACAGCACCTTCAGGAATGCTGAGTGAGGGGTACATCATCAGTCTCTTCCTATTGTCAACAAGGTTGGAGGGCACTTGGTTTTGTGCTATCAGGAATTCATGTGTGCCACATGGTGATGGTGGGAGTACCTTACACAGGTCAGGCCACCCACTCATGACTTCCTTTTAGGAGATTATGCCTGTGTGGGTGAAGGAGCTCCTCTGGGGTCCTTTAACGTTCTACCCAGACATATTTTGTTTGATTTGTGCAAGTTTTACCCCTATTATATTATTAAATCAAACCTTTAACTCAATTCTTTAGAGCTGAGTCTTCATTTTAGGTGTCAGGTAAAAGGTTTGTACACATAAACCAGGTCCAATATCTCTATACATTCTTGCACTGTTTGTACAGAAACTGCCCTTCCTGGAACTGGAGTATCTGAAAACATGATAATCTGTCCATCAATCAAGATACTTATCTGAGGCCCTCCAGTGGGCATTCCTGCCTTTTGAGTGGACAGGGAGGGAAGGGGGGAAGAGAGAGAGGTGGGGCATTTTCAGCTGTGTTTTCAAGACTACAACACTCCCTTCTGGGAATGTTAACCTGCTTTGATTTATATCTCTTGGTTGGCAGGAAAAGTCCATCTTGTTTTCTTGAGGGTTTAGCGGCATTTGATGGTGATTTCTACTCTTTTAATTAGATTATTGTTTCAAACATTTAACTTGTCAGCTTTCTGTTATTATAGCTACTGTTGTTGTTCGTATTTGTTATGAAATATATGCCTACATAACTGATACCAGCAGAAATTCACAGTAACCATACTGTGCATTAACGAATGCACACTGCCCATTTGCTCTTTCCTCTGCTCCAAGGGTTCCCAAACTCTAGAGTGAAGTATAAAGTTCAGAGCCAAACCTTTTCATCTTGTGTAGGTAATTCTGAGTATGAACTGAACTTATATCTCTTGGCATCTGATTATACAACTCCAGGAATTTTTAGCAGCTTGCAGTGTAAGGAAACACTTCAAGACTGCTGTTCCAACTGATTTCAAAGCACAGTGGGTTTGGCTTCATCACACAGATAATAAGGTAGCTCAAAGAGAGTTTAAGGCAAGTTTTAGACAATGGGAATGCTCTGTTTTCTAGGTTTTCAGATTGTTGGAGTTCCTGTCTAAAAGCAGACAAACTCCATACATTTCTTTCTTTCTTATCTTCTTGACTTAATTTTGCTCCCTCTACTCAAATTTTGTTTCTTCATTTTCATTTAACCATGAAATAATCACACTTTTTTGCCATATATATATATATATATATATATATATATATATGATGATGAGGTGTCTTTTAAAACTGTCACACAGTTGAGTTTTGCCAAAATTGGTTGTTTCTTTCATGAGGACAGCAGGTGAACATATATTTTATTGTGTCTATTTTTAGTATCCGATGAATGTTCCATGGATAATACATGATTACAAATGCAATTATTAGCTGTTCCATTTCAAAAATATACTTGTATTATCCATACTGAGGAAGGCTTTTTCACAGCACAGATCCACTACTGCTGGGCTCAGTCAGAGAATCAGAATGAAAATCTTTTCTTATAGTATGCTTAAATGCTATTTAAAAGGTTTGCCATTGTTTCAGTTCTCTTTAACAACTGTCTAACTTAGGGTTTAGCTGGAGATCACATTATAACTGAATATTATTGGAAATGCATCAGAAAATTCATGTGGAAAATTCAGATGCATCAGAACAAGAAGGGACCACCAGAGTAATTCTTCAACATTGCGGCTTCACGTTTTTGTTGCATAACAAATAAATATACATATGTTTTCAGCTAATGAGTACGTACATCATCATGTTCTCTGGGGCTATTAAAGGAACAGGCCCTACCTGGTGGAGCGCCCTAAGACCCTGGAATATTGTGTAACACTAGGGAGAGATTGGGATGGTTTATAACAGTACCTTTCTTGCTTGTGCAGATAGAGGACAGAGAAAG